TACAAAATTAATCATTACAGCACCTACTCATCGACCAAAGCAAGTGTAGTTGAAAGGGTGAATCAGACTTTAAAGAATCGTATGTGGAAGCAGTTCAGCCTTCAGGGATCGTACAAATGGCTAGATATCCTATCGTCAGTCGTTGACGGGTATAATAACACCAAACACAGTACAATTGCAATGAAACCCAAAGACGTAAACAAACGTACAGAAAAAACATTATTGAATACACACATATACACATTTGAAAACGGTATATCCAAAGGGTGTAAAATATGAAACTGGGGATCATGTCCGCATAAGCAAACATAGGACAGCATTTGCTAAAGGATACACTCCTAATTGGTCCAATGAAATTTTTACAATTCGTAAAGTACAGTATACCAATCCTACATCATACTTATTGGCAGATTGGCGTGGTGACGAGATGCTAGGTGGATTTTATGCTGAAGAGCTTCAAAAAGTCAAGTATCCAAACATCTATCTTGTGGAGAAAGTGGTTCGACGTAAAGGCAATAAAGTGCTAGTCAAGTACTGAGGACTGGATAGCAGCTATAATTCGTGGATTAAAAAAAGTGATTTACTTGTATGACAAATGTACCTCTATTTTCTCTAATGATTTCTATAGCAAACTTCTTTCAATAAAACACTCTACGTAATATAAGATTTTTATTACAAATATACTGAGAATAGTTAGGATAAGCAATTTGAATAAAAGTTCAGTGTTGGAGCCTTGTTGAATTCCTTCAAGTTTGGATATTGGTATGCCAGTTCCATAGCAGTCCTGATGTTCTCCGAATGCGGCAAATCAGACATGTGTTGCATAATGAAGTCTCGCACATCTATGTGCTTGGTTTGTACATCCTGGACGAGTGTGGTAAAATATTTTTGGAACTCCTGAGTTTTCAGCATATTCATCGCATAGGCAATCAGCGGGGCTAATTGAAATAACTTCAATACGGTCTCTTTACCCAAATAAACTACGTTACTCCACCGATCTTCAATTTTAATGGTTTGAAAATCTGGAAATCTATCAAAGCTGATACAGAAGGAGTTACCTTGGATCGGATGGAAAATATCATCACTGAAGAAAAAATTGGTTATAATGCCTTCTTGATTCAATACTTCATACCAGTCTTCTTCATTTAACGTAACGCCCTCGGTTTTTAAACCCTTGATATTGATTACAGGTTGGAAGCTCCACTGATATGCTCGCCCAATCGTGATCCATTTTGATTTAGATGGATTTAGATGATAGCGTTGCTCCTGGATGACAATTAACGGTGGCTGAGCTACACCACTTTGTACAGATCGTGCCCCCATGTCGTTCTGCACATTTGCAAGGTGTTTGACACCACCGGCACTATTCATGTTATAACACTATGTGAAATGTAGAAGACTGGTATGTGATGCTGAGTAGCTACTTCTATACAGTGTCGATACTCCCTCCACTCACAAACACTCCCCTCCCAAAAATTGTCGCAGGTGCAATGGAAAATGATACTACCATTCATGAAGATATATTTATTTATTATATATTTCTGTCATACAACACAGAAAGAATTATTGCGTTTTGGATAAATCGCATAAGACACTCAAACATGCAATATAATCTTCAAATTTGGTGGATGGCCATTTCACACCACATGGTCCAGAACTCCATCCTAGTGACTTATCTTCAATGTGACCTTTGGCTACGTTTTTCTTTAACCATTTAAATACAGTATAATGTCTTATCTTATTTTCTATATCAAATAAAAATTTAATATCATGCTGCTGTATCACATCGATTAGACTCTTCAGTGATACACAATCGGCCAGATATGCGATTTTACATATGGTTTCATCGATATGGGATACAGTGCCTTTATATCTCATAGTAATATTTTCTACAGGATGTGGTTTATCTACATCTTCATAGTTACTGTCAGATAACAACTTACACAAATAGTATTGTTCATACACAAGCTTATAGCTTAGGTGTCTATTCTTTTGTAGTAAATTCTTTTGTAGTAAATTGTAGTACTCTTGTTTCTCTGCTTAACCTTTACGCAAAATTTTTATTGTTTAAACAACATAGTTTGACCTTACTCGAAATATCCCTATATTATCATATTTCAGATATTCATATTTTATGTACTCTATATTTATACTTCTGAGTGTTTTTAGTATGCTTCTGTATTATTGTTATTGAATTTTAGATTTGTTTATGTAGACACGTAATTTAGGATTTGTGACGACAAGACTCAGACATTTACCCTTTACGAAAGTATACAGAATTTTCACAATTCATATACCGTTACTTGCTCGTTCTAGATCTGATGCTAGTATCTTTGCTCAGATTTCTGTTGCAATCTTGGTTATTCAGGGTAGCAAGAGTATACAAGGTCATGTATTTTTGAAGTTTTTTTTATTTAAATTGTACTAAAGGTTGTATTTAATTTGTAAGTTATATTGGTTTTTGAATTTGAATAAACTAATAATGATAATAATAATAATAAAATTTGCCTAAAGTGCGGTAGAATAATTGTATTATAAACTATTTTTGGAATATGTACCAAGACTATGAGAAGCTCTATGAAAGTAATTTTTTTTGTCAATTTTTGAAATAATGTATTCATAGTGATTCTCAAACTTTAGTTTACTATCAATATATATATATATATATATACATATACAGGGTTTTCCAAATTAAGTGTCCACCATTAGTAACTTTGTTATTAGTGAAAATACAAAGTTGTTTGAATTAGCAAACTAGTAGCATTTTTAACGCTGGTAAAAATGAGAAATAAAAAAAAACAATTGAGAGTCGTTATTTTGATTTTTTTCAGTAAAATAACATTTTTTTAAATGGAAACCCCTGTATATTATATTTTTTTCTGTTAAAGCATCAAATTTTAAACAAAAAAGTTCATAATGACTTTTCCGCTAAAGTCAAAAATAAAGTCAAAATAACGATAAATATTTTTAATTATTTGCAGTATTATAATATTAAGACGGCTATGAAAACAACATGGCGTTCGCGATTGACAGCATTAAGATAAGCGACAAATTATTAAACTGGACATACTCGCAACTAGAAGGCTTTGGAAAACAATGATAAAATCAAATAATGTCAAACATTAGTGTAAATACTTGTTTATAAGCTTTATTGTGTCATTAATTCAAAGAAAAATGTTCTCCCATGAAGAAAAGTGTGATATGTTTTTGAATGCTATTTAGTGTGCAGAAAATCCTCCTTGAGAGCAAGAGAATACTACAGTGAATTATATCCCGCTCGCATTCAACCGTATGAACGATATTTTCTGAGACTTTATCGAAAATTTAGGGGCAACGAAAATGTTTTTGCTAAAACAAGGGCAAAAAAAGAATTCATAATAAGCGAGGCCACGGAAATTGCAGTTATTGGATATTTTGAAGCTTATCGTGAGAATTCAATAGCAGATATTCTCAAGGACTCTAATTTCAGTTATGGTACTGTTCAAAGGATTTTAAAAAAATACAAATTTATTCCGTATAAGTACCGACCAGTTCAAACGCTTTTGGCAGGGGATCCAGAGAGAAGACTTGTTTTTTGCCATTGGTATCTTAGCTTCTGTCGCCAAAATGTAAATAACTTTCGTTACCTTTTATGGACAGATGAATCAAATTTTTCAAATTCTGGAATGTTTAATAGAAAAAACCACCATTATTGGTCAAGAGAAAATCTTTTGTTAGTACATCCAAGAGGCCCACAAGTCCGTTTCAGTTTCAACGTTTGGTGCGGTATAATTGGTTCAAAAATTGTTGGCCCGTTCTTTTATGAGGGAACCCTAACTGGTGAAAGATATGTGGAATTTATGTCAGAAATTCTGACTAATTTCTTAGACGAATTGGATCTTATAAGTAGACATCATCTGCATTTTCAGCAAGATGGCGCACCTGCCCACAACTCCAGAGGTACTTATCATTTTCTAAGTACTACTTTTAATGATCAGTGGATAGGAACAAATGGCCCAATACAGTGGCCTCCCAGATCACCAGATCTAAACCCACTTGATTACTTCTTGTGGGGTTACTTAAAGAACCAAATTTACAAGCGAAGGTACGATAACCTTGACGCGTTAAAGACTGCAGTTAGGGAAAAGATAACCCAGATAGATGGTAGGACCATACTTAAGACAGTTCGAGCAGTTGAAAAACGTGCCCAAAAATGTATTGAAGAACAAGGTGGTGTTTTCGAGCATCTTCTTTAAAAAAAATTGTTATTGTATTTTGTAAGATTATAAGTTGATGTTGAAAATAAAGTTTTTCGATACAATTTAATTGTTTCAGATTGGAGGCCATAACTTCAACAATTTGTAACCTAGGAGAAAAGTTATTGTAAGCTTTTTTGTTTAAAATTTGATGCTTTAACAGAAAAAAATATAAAAATCAAAATAACGTCTCTCAATTGTTTTTTTTTATTTCTCATTTTTACCAGCGTTAAAAATGCTACTAGTTTGCTAATTCAAACAACTTTGTATTTTCACTAATAACAAAGTTACTAATGGTGGACACTTAATTTGGATAACCCTGTATATATATATATGTATAATCGAGAAATTAAATAGATCAAGTCAGTCAAAAAAAAAATATGCTGATGGTGTGCAGTGCATGTTCGCCAGCAGGTCTCCAAATTCTTTGATGCTTAAAACCTCACGACCTCTATCCTTTAGACTTTGCAGCGTTACCTGTACCACCCAGTCAAGATGTTTCTTTCTTGTTATTACACTGGAAGGCACATCGGGATGGCAACTATCTGCATTTGCAATCCAGTTGAATACTTCGTCGGGTAGTGTAATTCCCTCCAGTACAAAACTCAGCACTGGAAATTCTCGTTTTTCTGGATTTTGAGACACAAACTGTCGGAGCTGTTTTTTCTTGGTACTCATCTTTAAAACTGAAGAAGGTGAGTGGGTAAAGCATATATTCTTGTCCCCACCACAAAGTTCTAATTTCTGAACATTTCATCTGATCACTAGTCAACTCACTGGCTTCGTTCATTAAGCGCAGCAAGAGGTCCGACCGCTCTTCGTCCGACATGTTATGAAAGATAATATCTTGATGACCCCAAGCTAATGTCTTTGTTGAGTTTGATATCAAGAAACGTTTATCATCCATACTGGTCAATGCCACTTTTCTTATATAATTTGTATATATATTGTGCAACTCCGATTTAAATACATAAATCGTACAGTACACAGATGTCCGTTTCTCCTCAACAATATCCTTATAATGTAACAAATGTAATTGCTGTTTCACACTCGCCTTAGATATACCGTTGGCTCGTTTAGCCACTTGATCTACAGCATCGATACACTATGCTTTGGGACCTGTACCATAAAAGGCAGACAGTACCTTGCCACCATATTCGTCTTTCATCTTACCCAACTCTGACGCTGTTCGATGCATGTTATGTGGGTTGTCAGCATCATAATTGGATGTATCAAAGTAATGCATGTGTGATTTCATGTCTTCATAGAAATTATCGGCTTCAACATGTACTATTAACGAATCAGTGTCCGTGCATGCTAACGACACCTTATCACTATATTGGTGCTTCAGAAAGTTATAGAAAAAGTCATATATTACCGTTTTTGAGACATCTAAAATACAAAATCCAACATATGTGGGACGGCAATAATCAATCATTGGTTTTTCTATTTCAATAGCTACTAAGTTTTCAGAAAATATTCTGTGTTCTTTAAAACTTGGTTTACTAATATAATTTTCAGCACCTATTTTGTGTTTCGATTTTTGAAATTGAGTCGCAAATTTGATATCGACTCTGTTCTCCATGTTTTCAATCGTTTTGCCAAATATACAATTGATCATTAGTTTGAAAAAATCTCTTTCAAACGGATTCAGTGCTGCATTTCTAAGTGCCGTGTTTAACAGTATATAGGACTTTAACCACGCTGCTTGTGTGAATTTGATACCTCTATGAATTTTCGTCAAAATAATACCATGCTTCAAACATTGTTTTAGATTACGATAATGGATAATGTAGCGCTCTTTGTTGTGTAAATTTGGAATTAATTTTGAGCTTTGACTGTTGGGTGGTTTAAAATTTTCTGGACAAAATGGTACATCATTGAAATAATCATGAAGCTCATTCGGTATTGTTAAATCAACTTCTAATGCATATCCAATTTCTGATGTATCTGCAATTTGTGTAATTGTTTCTTGAATCCTATCCATCTCATGTTGCGTTAACCAAGCAAAATGACCCGTCGGTAGGTACTGCTGGATAGTATATCCATACAAATTCGACACATCAAGGTACATTAAGTACGATGATGTCTTTGATGGATCGTAATGAGGTAAACATTTATTGTTCGCCTCGACTTTCCGTGAGGTACATGTGCTGACACTGCTGACTCCTCCGCGGATCCCCTTTTTAAAAAAATGTACCATATCCACATCTGTAAGCAGCTCTAACTCTACTTTAGTATATCGTAGCATTGCATCCCAACTCAAACCAGGGGGTGTAAAATAGTGAGCTGGATCCAGCTTGTACGTTTTTAAACACAAACCTCTAAAATTTTCAAAGATATCTGTTAAAAGAAGAACATCCGAAGTCAAGTAAAAGTCCGAGTATTCCCCCAAATTTTTACACCCCATTACTTCCCAAACACGATGTGCCCGCTCATAATCCTCGTCTGCAATATGTTCATCACGTATTTCGTCATAAAAGTCTTGTTGGGATGGCAAACATGTTTCATTGTATTTATCAAATTTTTAAGATATGTATAGGGAAATATACCTTTACATCTCATGTAGGAGAATCTGTCGTCCTCGGGAAACACTTTTCGTACTGTCCGACATTGCTCTGCGCTTAAAAAGGATGCCAATGATGAAAGAAACTGATATTAATCGACAAATCTCATTTGCAAAAATACGGTTTTTTGTTTTCCCTATTGGGAAATGTACGTGTCCACCGGTACTAATTTCGTAAATGACACATATCTTTCAAAGGATTGTGGAATCACTTTAATTTGTTCTTGATTCATAGCTAAGTGTTTTATGAATAGATGAGCGTCATAGTTCTTCAGATTGTGGAAAAATATTGGAATATAGTTCGGAGTCTTATAATTGAGATTGCATTTACTATGCGCCGCACCACGATATTTCCCTGTGAATTTGACAGTGATCCCTTTTATATTTGTATTGGTGAATGGTTGTTCACAAATGAAACATGACTTTGCTTTATTAAACGAAGCTTTATCGTACGTAGTCATTTTCATATCTACATTTTGTGTTAAATATTGATAATTTATTAATTTAGGATCAGCCTCTAATCGAGTAACAAAAATTTGTGCTGCATCATCACCCCTATATAGTTCTAATTTGGATAGTGAATCATTAAATGAGCATTTGATGTAATAAGCAAATGAGGATGGTTTACGTTCATACTTTCTGATGGTACATACATCCTCTGAATCGTTCGAGTCATTTTCTATCGGAGCTAGAATGCATTCAAAGTCGGCATAAACGCAAAATGGTAGCCTTAATTGTTTGTGATGCTGTTCAAATTTTAGTACATTATCCATTACCGTGTTTCCAAGTCGATCAACTCTCGTTTCGAATTTTGGGAGCTTAACTGAAATATATTTGCAATAGGTTCCCATGTGAATTTCTAATTTTTCATTTGAAGCAAAGTATTGTAAACACCCATCACAAAAGTGCTTAACTCTCGTATTCCGCGACAACTGACTTGAAACGAGTCTTGAAAAGTTGGTAAGTAATGATGGTTTCCTTCTTAATCATCAATAAGTAATAAGTTCAGATGAGTATGTTGTTTTTGCCCGGTGTAATGTAACGGTAGCACCACCTGATATTTAGGCTTCCCATCAATGAATTCCTTTTCTAATCCATAAACATTGATTGATATGTTATTCACGCTTTCAAATTCTGTTATTGACTTGAGAGCGACCGGAAATGTCATTCCAGCGAAGTTTAAGCCCGGAACATTCGAAAAATGTGGATATGACGTTGTTAGTGATGATCGATCTTTTGGTTTTACCATACCAGCTACAATTGACCATGCAAAGCAGTACTCATCCTTATTACGTATATCGAGTACAGCTTTTTTGTCCCTAATTTCCTTTGTAAGCGGCAAATATGATGCTGCTCTCAAAGGATTATATTTACTAATATTAATTTCTAAATATAAAATCTTTTCTAACACCCACCCTGAGTCTTTTTCTGCGAAATCTTTAGATTTTTGTTCTATTTTACTTCCCAAATCATGATAGATTGCTTTTGAATTTGATGATTGTGTTATTATTACATTGTTTGTATTGTGGGACTCCACCTCTCGTCGGCTTTTAGCTGGTAAGATATATAAATCAAAAGGTTCCATATTTATTTTGAGCGTTGTTTGCTTATGCAATTCATTTTCAATCACGTTTATGGAGTCATGTTCGAGATTATTCATATATTCAGTAACGTTCAAAGTATCTATACTAGCGGTTATTTGATAACTGACTATTCTACCCCAAAATGCACTTCGACATACTGACACATTATTGTGTAAAGGTGTCCATAGATGTGCCTTATGTTTGGTATTGAGTCCTGTGGTGGTCTGGGTGATGCTAGCTGTAATAATAAGTTCATAAATATAAGTTATTTAATTTGGCTTAGTTGTTTGTAACCTTACCATAGGACCTTCCTTTGACATTTTGGACATTGGCACATTTTGTTGTGAGGCGCGCACGTATCTACTGTGTTTCTAACACCTAAAACATTTATATATATATATATTTTATTTGCCATCCCTGAAGCATTTCAGGATGACAATCTCGTGGGGGATCTGGACGATCCATCCAGCGATTCGGGGTATATCAGCCCCTAATGTGTATTAGTTTTAAGGAGTTAGCTTTAAGGATTTAGTTTAAGATAATAACATCCAAGCCAATTCACGTGTTTCACTCTAATTTCTCTTAAATGACCGATTTTTGAATTTTTTAGCTATCTGTCTTGCTTCTACAACCTTACACTCATTATTCTCTCAACTTATCCACACATTTTTTTCCTTCACTTACCTTCACACTCGACCTCCTTTTCCTCCTAACTTTTCCATTTTCTTTCTTCGGCTGCAACACAGATGCTTGCCTCCCAGCGGAATGTTGTCACACTTACGTATACTATTCGCCTTTCGCAGTACAAACACTTTGCTAAGTTCTTACTATGTATGTGGAGCTTATTCACATATCCGTCGCATATACTAAATAGGCATACCTTGCTCCTATGATACACCTCTCACATACTATTGATCCCATCATTGTGTAATATTGCTGACAATGGTCTTCGCTCCCTGGCATAACTTGACACATGCTCCATTCTACATATGCATTACTTATTACACTTCTTTCATATATCAATTCATATGGATATCGCACTCTATATCCATCTTGCAGCTCACTTCATTTAATTAGGAATCCATTCCCTACTGGAATTACCTCTATGGCGAGACCCGGTTCCAACACCAATGATTTTCGTCATCCGTTTCGAAGATCCACCCTATTTTATGGGGATGGTGGTACATGTCCAACAATTTTTATAATAACAGAGTCTGATTTCGATTAGCGATCTAGAATGTAAATCGTTTCTTATTTTGGTACTCAGCAAGTGATTATTTAGTGTTTTTCTCCCCTTGTTACTGTTACTGGCGATATTGTGTTGTTGAATTGTTGTTGGTGAGATTGTTCTTGAGTGCCTTTTTTATCAAGGCTGATAATGGACAATAAAGAAATGTACTTAATCCAGGTATAAGCCTACCTGTTTATTGCTTTGCAAAAACTACCTAACCGTTTCCTATTATTTTATTATTTCCAAATGAAACTCTTACAGCGTGCTAAAAACAAAGTCCACAGGGTGCTAACGATCCAGTTTTTCGATTTTATCCACTGGGATCTTCTTACAATATCAAGAAGTTGAACACAAATAGTAAGCATTTCAACCCACCATAATTCTTGCGCAAAGACAAAATTTTGTAAAACGCTCTGATAGCACCTTAGGCAATTATGTCTTGCTTATGTCCCGAAAAACATCACAAACTGCAGAACACAAATTGAACGTAACGGCGAAATGGGTACATTTCACGGGTCATGAAATTCAAATGAAAATGCAGGTATAAAATCTACCAAAATATCGTTCTCAAAAACATATTTCCTTGACATATCGATCATTTTAAATTTCCATGCTAAATTTCCCTATACTTGACTGGAGTGATATCTGAATTCATTCTTCCCTACTGTCGGCAGTTGCAGATAGATCTGTTGGATTTTTTCAAATCGTGAGCACATTATTCGTCGGATTTTCGTTACTTAAATTTCCTGTAATCACTGGGATCAGAAGCTTAATAATAGAACGTGTTTCACTGATATCATAGATGCAACATTTAGAATCACCTTCCCCCAACCCCCACTTTTTAGGCAGTACAATTTTTTTATGTCAATGATAAGGAACCCCTGTAACGTCAAAAACGGAGTGTCAGCAATTGAACCCTTCCCTCGAATAAGGGTCTATGTTACATTCGGCTATATTGAGAAAATTAACAAAAACGATTTGCTATGGGGTTTTTAATAATAAACATAACAGAAATGGTGATAACAAACTAATATAATAATTCTAAGGCATTAGCCATTAAAGAGTGTAGCTAAAATGTAACATAAACCCTTATTACCGAGTACCCATTTAATGTTAATACAGTTAAGTTTTTAACGTAATATACATAAAAATATGGGCTCAATTCTTCTTTCCTTTACAAGTAAGACTCTCGTAAAAGTTAATGTACTTCAAAGGAATATAGTCGGACATGTCCATCAAATTTTGCTTTTTCTCAAAGGTTATTTTCAGTGGTTCATTATAAAGTAGAGGAAGATTTGAGCGTCCAGGAGCTTGCATCTTTTTTTTGTAAATATGTTGAATGCAGTCCAAGGAGCAAATGTATTATGGCTTGGACGCACGTTTACATTAGAAGGATCATCTGCACTATATCTAAACCACATATATTGAGTAATCTTTAAATTAGGATTTTTCTTAACATTTTTTTCGATTGGCGCGAAATCTTTAAAATCATTTTGCTGGAGCAGTTTGACTTCAAAAGCATTTTTATGACTGGCACTTTCTATAACTTCTTTCCACATATCAGGAACATAGACTTTACATACCTTCTTTCTTTGTTCAATAAGTGCGAAATTTCTGTCACACGGTAAAAAACTGTGTCCTGAGCAAAGAAATTTCTGTTCAATAATGGTAAAATAATGGCACTGTACTAAATAGTGACACAAGTTTACCACTTTCCAGTTGTTATTCTGGCCGACACATCTATCAGACCATATTATCAGATGGCGTTCTTCTCCCGGTTTCAAAATATCAAAGTGATCTTCTATATAAGCTAATAATGCCGATACTATTTCAGCAGAACCTCGTCCAGCGATAGATTCGTGCCATAAATTCATTCTGGCATTATTTAATCCGCCATTGTGAATACAGAAGTTATAGCAGGAATACTTCCGCTGATAAAATACTGAAGAGTGTGTCAGGGTAGGGCAGAATAAAACCTGCTGCATATCAATGCATAAAACATGCTTAGTGGTGGACACTTTACTTGATTCGATGTCTTTCTTTAGGAAACGATACCCAGCTTCTGCCTTCCTATGGTGCAGCTCACTATCCTGTTGTATTTTAATCCGAGATTCTTCAGTTTCTGCACATTGTAAATGCATATATAACTTGTCGCAATATCTACATGTGTTACTCCTCGGAACGCCAAATTTGAAGTTATATTCGGAAAAAACATCACGGTAAGTGCGAAATTTAACATGGAGGTTTGGAAAATGTTCTTCAAAAAGTGAAAACATTTTTTTCAATGTTAGCTCCGGATGTAAATACAGTGAGCTTGATTTCTGCCTCGAATAGTGGGATTCATGTTTGGGAAAGCTATTTATATGCATGCGGATAGCATCTTTAATATCTTGCTTTATACGATTTGGTCGATTGTCATGTTTACCTCGTAGATCAGTGGGAATGGTAACACCATCTTTCATTTTAGACTGTAGTATTTGAATTCTCTTGGTATTTATTTGAAAAATATCACAAAAGTTCCTTTTACACATAAGCATTGATACATACTGAGTATGTAAACGCAGCTAACTTCTTAGAAGTTGCATCGGTATTTCCAGCTCGACGTCTCTTCGGGGCACCCATAGCAATACACTTTACTAAATAGGAACTTAGGTCATTATAATCCATACCATAGAAGGAATTATATAGCATTTCCTTATCGTCAATAGTTATACTGGTACAGCCACCCTTTTTGCATGTCTCAGGCTTGCAGATTCTAGCCTGAAAAGAAAGAACGATTTAAAAAGTTTAACAATAACAATAGAGAAATTAAAATTCTATGTGATTTGTTAACCAGATGATACCAAATAAAAGCTGTAGAACTCACACTTAATTTATAGGTTAGATTATAAATAACATATACCCTTTTTCTACTTACCTCTCGAGATGTAGCTTTCCTGGGTTTAATTCGTCCTTGCCGGTCTATATATTCACTTCCACTATTCCTTAATTTCTTGTTTTTATTACATTTCCACTCATTCACATTTATTTTTCTTTTTCTGCTTTTATTTAACGTTTTGCAGAACGACGACGTGATATGTACAGTCGACATTATTATGATTAGTAAAACAATTTGGTTGCACGTGGCCACATAAACCGTTATTCCACGCTAAAGAAAGTAGTATTGCATACATTTGCATGAAAATCTCAACATGCAAAAAATGTAACATAAACCGTTATTCGAGGGAAGGCTTCAATTGTTACTTTTTCTTTTTTGTCTATAGTACCGTTGCCACTGGACTAAAACTACAAAGCTTTGGCATACTAGTAATCCCGTGTGGAAATTTCTTAAAAATCCGAGCGGTTATTTCCAAGTTGATGAGTGATACAGTTTTTCGTGATGTAGATGTCATATATGACTTAAAAAAACATAACATCTCATTTTAGAAATTTTTCGCGATTACAATACTTCCTCGCCAATGGCGTGGGAAGTAAAAGGCTTTAAAATCGAGGAGTATCAGCGATCGCGATTACGAGTACCTATTTGCAGAACGACTTATCTACGCGATATTATATGAAATAGGGCCACCAAATTATCTGAATACGTCCTTTCTTAGTCCGTACATTGCGCCGCAACGCTTGGATTGGCAGCACGAAACAGTAGACAAAATTCGTCCAAAATACGATTTGTAGAGGTTTGCGCGCTTCGAAATTGTCGCTTTATTTTTTGATATTTGTGGATGAAATTTTCAGAGTGCTGAAAACAAAACCCCACAGGGTGCTATAGAGCCACTTTTTCATTTTTTTCACTAGATTCTTTTTAAAAAAATTGCGAAGTTGAACAGAAAAAGTGCGCACTTCAACCCATCATAAAACTTGTGCAAAAACAAAATTTCAAAAAGTGCTCCTATAGCACCCTGGGCAATTATCTTCTCAACATACTGTAGGAATTTCATTCAAAAATATTGAAAAATGGAGTGTCAGTTTTGAAGCAGCTGAACCCTTATAACTGACTAATCCTATCGGCTTGTCATTACATTCATAGAAACTATTAAGACCCGAAGGGTTACAATTTATGATGGCAAACTCAGCGCACACTTGCAATGTCGGCTCAACATCTCGATCCGCCGGCTCGAACATCAGAGACGTCGGCCCACCTTCTTGAGACGTCGGCCCACTTTCTTGAGACGTAGACCCAAAGCCTTATTGCACACGAAATTTCAAGACCGCATAATTTCACGAAATTCAGATGTCAGTTGGCTCCCGAGATCGTACGATTTAACACCTCTTGACTATTTTCTTTGGGGATTTTTCAAAAGAAAAGTGTATGCGAATGGTCCCCTGAAAATTCAAGACCTAAAGCGCAATCTTCGGACTGAAATTGCAGCCATAGACCCAATTATTCTGGGGAAAGTCATTGAAAATTTTGATGTTCAGATGTTGGCCTGTAAACGATGCCGCGGTGGTCACATGATGTTATTTTTCATACATAAATGGCATAAACCAACCTTCATTTATCTAGAAAAAAAATCGATTTCACCTCGTAAAAAGCGTGTTGATTTTTCAAATAGGAAAAAGTAATAGAATATGCACCCTACATGACTTGTCTACTGTAATAGGTAGATAGAGGTGATGCTGCCAGAATTGTATGTGTGCGATCAATAAACAAACCACAAGATTGAACTGTCTTGTCCAATGATTTTTGTATTGCCTTACTAGAAAACTCTGTTGGGTAATATGATGAAGACGCCACAAAGTACAGTCCTGTGACTTGTTCGATCTGCAAAATCTCGTCGTCAATTTTTCTAAGTTTCCCTAAAAATTCTTGCTTAGCAACCTCCAAATCAATGTCGTTCATGTCAGGTTTTTGACAGAATTCGCCATAAGACTATTCATTTTCTTTGTAATTGCTATCCGAATTGTTAGTTATTTTTATATCAGCTTTTTTTGCTCTGAGTTTCTTTTCCAGATTTTTGCGTTTAAGTCTTTGTTCCATCTTAGTGATAAGCGAGGTTGGACTAAGTTTAGAACGCAATTTATTTGGACCACATAGACAGGCCGCTCGGGATTGTGGCTCACTACAGCTGCAGCACATCTTCCGTTCAATTTGTGTTCTGCAGTTTGTGATGTTTTTCGGGATATAAGCAGGACATAATTGCCTAAGGTGCTATCAGAGCGTTTTACAAAATTTTGTCTTTGCGCAAGAATTATGGTGGGTTGAAATGCTTACTATTTGTGTTCAACTTCTTGATATTGTAAGAAGATCCTAGTGGATAAAATCGAAAAAGTGGATCGTTAGCACCCTGTGGACTTTGTTTTTAGCACGCTGTAAGAGTTTCATTTGGAAATAATAAAATAATAGGAAACAGTTAGGTAGTTTTTGCAAAGCAATAAACAGGTAGGCTTATACCTGGATTAAGTACATTTCTTTATTGTCCATTATCAGCCTTGATAAAAAAGGCACTCAAGAACAATCTCACCAACAACAATTCAACAATACAATATCAAAGAACAGTAACAAGGGTAGAACAATACTAAATGATCACTTGCTGAGTACCAAAATAGGAAACGATTTACAGGCTAGATCGCTAAGCGAAATCCGACTCTGTTATAAACATTTTCCTCTTTTAAAGTAGCGCCGACGATCGTCTAGACTCTACAGCCTGCCCACACTCATTTCCTTTTCACCCCCCGTTAGCACAGCAGATGGTGCTCGTGATTGTAGGAGCCCCGATAACGCTCACTATTGGCGTGAACGTGCAGTGGGAAATCCTCATATGAAGAGACGAAAAGGATCTCAAAGGCGATTTTGTCTGGATGGGCATTATAAATAACTGTTTGATAGGACCACATTTCCTACCAGACAACTTAAATAGAGAAGCCTACGAAAATTTCTTAAGAAATATTCTATTTGAATTACTTGAAGACGTGCCGCTACACACAATACACAGACTGTTTTTTCAGCATGACGGGTGCCCAGCACATTTCAGAATAAGTGTTAGAAATTGTTTAAGTGAGCAGTTTCCGAATCGATGGATCGGTAGAGGCGGACCAATCCCATGGCCAGCACGCAGTCCCGATCTCACACCTATGGACTTTTTTGTGTGGGGGTCGCATGAAAACTTTAGTATACTCTGATCAACATCCTGTACCCACAATAGAAGACCTCGGAACAGGATAATACATGCAGCACAAGAAATTCAAGCCCCTCTTAGGAATTCGGCGGTAGTAAAATCAGCTGTCATAAGAAGAGCACGTGTGTGCATTAGAAATAGAGGGCGGCATATTCAAAATGTATTATAAAAATAAAAAAATGTAGTTTCAAACAAATTATCCTGTATTAAGGTATGCTTTTGTACGTATAGTGTTTTTATTGCTTTTTCCTTCCTCCTTTTATAATAGTCATATTTGTGCCAATTCTTAATCGATTTGTGATTTTTATAACTCATTTGAAAGGTAATGAAACGTAGATGTTTTCTAATTATTTTGTACGAAAAATTTGTATGCGACTTTTTGTAGTAAACTGAAGCTTTTGAGATGAACTATTTTGAAGCTTACTGCATGAGATAACATCAATAATGTACATTTGAGTATCAATTTTCGTATTTTAGAATATTTTTATTGTAAAACCAAAAAAAAATCAAACGAAACACCCAATTTTCAAGTTTTATGACTTGGTTAACGTATAAAGGACGTTAATTTTATAAAATCTTAAAAATTAGTATAATTCGAAAACGACTAATTTTCGGACAGTAGTTCCTATAGTAAAATCGACTCAGATTGGCTTGTACTATCTCCCCCCACCGGCTTCACATCTATTTTCCCGTCACCCTGTATATCAATTTATCTTTTATGCTCTTGTAGAACGGCATTAAGTTTAAGGTATCTAGGAACAAGAAACGTTTAGGATAAGGAGAAGGTTTGGAGTGTATTACAAGGAACCCTCGAACGGTAATATGTGGTAGGTGTACATCTTAAGAGGTCCATATTAATAGTCATTGATATTTGGTTTGTTTGTACAGTGATCCGTGGTTTGTGGGTAGTGTCTGGGATCTGACCGTGTGAATTCCGTTTACATAGCATAGCACAATGAATTAATTTCTGGTAGCCGGATCTTGGACATGGTTTCCGACAGGTTGCCGAATGCTGTACGAACAAACCAACTGAGTGTTACCTCAGCTTTGATGAACTGGTAGATTCCAATGACACGCAATGAATGTTGTTGTAGCAGCTTCGCAAAAGTTCGGTAGCAAAATAATTATTCTTTTGATGAGTTTATGAGGCAATACTAATAAAATAAAATAAATTCTCTATGGTCTTTTTAAGAAATCTGCATGCTTGCAAAAGTTCAAAAAAAAGTCCATCCAATCTCGATGACAACTGTATGTAACTATTATTTGACAATTGGAACTACTAAAACCACCAAAAATTCGTGCTGGTGATAAAATAAGCCAAAACCTATATGTAATAAAAAATCCTACTTTATCAATATCGAAATAAAAAACGCAAAGTATTCCATACTCTCATGCTTACCTTTATTATTGTCTCCAACGACGGCTAGTTGTGGCAGTGATTGTAATATTAAGGCTAGGCATTGTGCGACGTTCTGATTTGGAGCACAGCACAAGGCGGGCGTCAAACCTTCGTTATCCACCGCTGTCAACGAAGCATGTTTTTCGAGTAACGCACGAGTCACATCTACTAAACCATTCCGTACGGCAATGTGAAGAGGCCTTAAGCAAGAGAAAAGCTTTTTATAGTTATTTTTCTAGATAATATACAAGCACGTATTAGGAAAGTTTTGACAAAAAAGTTATGAACGTTGTGGATGGTTATGGAGCCTCTAAGCAAGCAATATTTTTGTTGCAATATATGGCTATAAATATGGCAACTATAGCCCAGCCATCATGAACGTATATGGCCCGGCTATATATCTCGCCTATATAAGCTACAACTCGTTTGTATATTAGCAATATTGCCTTCAATGTGTAGCCACATACACTTTCCAGAATTTCTCATCAGAATGGGCTACAAAATCAAGTAAGAATGGCTAACGAATTTGTAAGCGTTGCGGCAGCTTACATTACCTTCATAAGCAGGAGTCAGATAGTTAGGCAACTTATAGGTTGGAAATCTCAAACATATGTAACAATATTACCGTATGTTGCTGGCCACTCTATTGCAGCTACAGAATGCAGTAAAAATGTTGTCCGTTTAGTGGGCTCCATTAGAAACAGTTAACTGGTTCAGTTTGACCTACTAAACTCAGTGACATGCTTTTGATAATTCACTTGGTAGAAAATCTGATTCTAATATTTTTCGCCAATTTATGAAGTCAAATGCAAACTGTCAAACATTTAAAATCTCTCATGCAAAAATTCCAGGCGAATGTCACACGATCCAGTTTTACTGTGATCCATCAGTATTTATCATGGAATGTGATATTTATTGACCGTGTAGCAAAGACGCCAGTAATTAATGATGCATAAGAACACATACAAATCCACTTACCGTGACACAATGATCAGTAAATACCGATAGTACGGACCACAGTAAATACTGGTCGTGTGACATTCGTGTTATACAGAAAGCTATTTGTTACGGGAAGGATAATGTTTTATCTATTCACATTAAATATAACAGTATAATTGTGAAACTTACATTTTATTTTCGTTATTGGTAATACTAACAACGCTGTCCCCTTGGACATCTCCCAAAATCAATAAGGCGGTCTGTGCATGATTCTTCAAGCAAGCCCAGTGTAAAGCTGTATTGCCAGAATTATCACATGCTTTGCAATCGACGTTACATGCCAATAAAAATTCTGGAAATAGGTATTTCTATAGTAATGTCAAATCGTTTTTCCAAGGATATATGTCTCTTTTTCCAACGAAAAACACTATGATTCAACAAGACACCAATTTAGAAAAGACACGAAGTTCGTGGAAAAATGTAAAATGCGCCTTTTTAAGAATTAAAAACATTTTTTGCTAGCCAAATCTATGACGACATTTTGATGTATCGTTGAGAGATAAAATAACTTTTAGTAAGCTCCCCTATGGCACCCCTGTGCAGTTTGGAAGTTTGTAGGTTTTAACATTGTCATTTATGTAAAGGTGACACGCCACCTATGAGTAGTTTCGTCTATCGCAGTACTTCCGACCCCTACGAACAGCAGAAGGAAACAACCGTTTCCAGTTAACTCTGAGCGACAACGTTTGTTTCTATGATCCAAACGAGGACGCTACCACATAGACGTCCCACCATCACACATGGGAGTATAGGGAGTCATTCTAAAATCGGTTGCAGAAAAACGTGGCAATAAATCTAAGTTCTAAAAAAATAAAATTTCATTTATTTATTGATTAGTTAAGCAACAAATATATCTTTTTATATTCTTCTTTGGAATTAACATAAATTAAGTCTTTACTATCATGTTTGACAGGGAAAATCACAGTATTGTTTGTTACTTATGAATAATACTTGAAATTAAGGATACTCTGTTACTCTGAATGTTTTATATGAAACTATTTTTTTCCTCAAATTGCTTAAATTGAATGAAATATAAGAATTTAAATAAGTTATTGTTCGTAAATAAAAGTAGTATATATCTGACGTATGAAATATACAATAAAGTACCAACTTTTTATAAAAAATCTAACTGTACTCTTTTAAAAATAGGGACATAAAAGTATCAGAGTTGTAGGAACCGTAACATAGCTGTACTTAACTAATTTATGAATATAAGCACAAAACTTTCTTTTTATAATAACTAGACATTAAAACTTGAAAAAATGAGTACGCTCTAGGTGAGATCAAATTAAAATTAGTTAACTGATATCTTATTTCTCAAATATATTTTTTGATGTACTTTCATTGTGCCATATTAAGAAACTGTTTCTGTTGGAATTTCTCTCGCCATGTTTTCAAAGTCTTCATCAAGTATATCTTCTACACTTTGCTACTGTCTTTCAGAAGCTGATAGAAGGAAGAAGAATCAGATATATCTTTCCCAACGGCAACAAATTGGTCAGCAGTTCGCTTCATAAAGCCACCGATACCGTCTGCCGCCCCCTTCCGATGCCCCGCCTCAAAAGATTTCTCTTGGTTGCGTTATCGTATCTTCTTTAAATATATTTTGAATGATGCTCTCTCCTTTAAACTTTTAATTTTGGTGTACCGCTGTTTAATAGCATTTGAAAGAGCATTATATCTGTCGTCATGTGCGCGACTTTCCTCATTTTTTCGGAGAACTCTCTTGTATCTTTTCGTATATTTTTTATATTTTTTTTTTTTTCGTTTTGTCCAACTCTTCTTTCACTTTCAAATTTTCTCTAAATAGTTTAGATCTATCTCTCTTTACCTTTTTCTACCATGAGCTTTTGCAGATATGTGATATCTTGGAGTCAAAGGCTGAGGAGTAGACAGTCGACAAGAAGTGGAAAATCACAGGTATAACACTATAAGATGCAGGAGGTGGTGGTGTCTCAGCTTTAGGCGTTGATTCTGGCGTATTCATAACTGTTCGAAGTGCTCTTTGGCGATCTTTTCTTTTGGCATTCGCAACTCGCCATTTTTTTTAGATAGTCGATGTTCACGCGGAGTCATGTCTTCTATCAAGCGTTTACTTTTATTATATCTATCTAAATCCTTTCTTTTAGCTTCTGCTTCTTTTTCTGTATTTAGTTTACGCTTTTCCCTATAGCGTCGCTGCTTTTCAGCAGCGGTGAGGGCCATAATGATGTCGTATAATTATCTAGATCAAATTATATAATTTATTATACAAGATACAGACAGACTAATGACGACCAAAGCTACAAACAGTTAAATAATAGGTATAATAACAACCCTGTTACCAGTCTACAACTCAGTTACTAGATAGTGGTAACAGAGTTGTGCAGTAACAAAGTAGTAAATTTAACGCTTCGTGTCTTTTATTATTCAAACAAAATTGTGTTATGTTAAAATGAATGCACATAAGATCATTATTCCATTAGATCTGCTTCAAAGTTGTAAATTTGTATAGAAATATAGGAATACTTCCTTAAAAATGCCGGTAACAGAGTACAGACAGAATAAAACCACGCGCCTCATATCCGCGCCAACGAAAAACTGGTTTGTATACCCTCCACCTGACTTGCAACGAACAGTGTCGATAAAGAAGTAGACATAAAAACACAACTGTTTCCATTGAAAAGGTGGCGCCATCCCTTGGCGGCTACCAAATATATGTGGTAACAGAGTGTCTGAAATAAGGCAGGACAAAATTTTAAGTAATCATAGGTGGATCAATAAATTGTATTTACTAGGTATGAAACATGTTGAAAATGTTGAAATTGCTTAATTACTATAGCATTTAAACAAAAAGATCCATATGGTTTCATAAAATGGTATCACGATTTCCGTATAATGGTCTACGGTCTGGACACATTTTTGTATAAAAAACAACTCTGTTACCATGAATGACTACTCTGTTACATGAAAAAATTGGTGATGTTAGATGTTTAAAAAGTTATTAAATAATGCGTCATTTAACGAATGATCCCATAATGAGATAAAATGTTTCTAATATTTCAACGAAAAGAAAGTATTTTAGTTTCGGGACATCATTTTCTGCAACGGATTTTAGAATGACCCATAGGCGTACATTAGCGGTGGCAGGTACAATTTTAGAGGTTGGAATTACCCTGATGAATGGGTCGCTGTATTGAAGGTCTTCATAGTGTCAAATTCATATGAGCGCCCTGTCTGATAAACATATATTATGATCTATAATACATAATGTCATACCGTACTACACATCTTACTGGGTTTCTCATAGACTGTTCTGCATAAAATAGGAGACCTCAGATTTTTAATTTGTCGCCAGTGCTGTAATTTGTGGAACACTGACTATGCAAGGGGGTCTTATTTTCGGCAACATTTCGACAATTTGCCAGCCAAACGCGACATGCATTCGCCGGCGACTCGCTGGAAAACGTCTCTGCATACAGGAAGTAGTGACTCATCCTACCTACAACCGCGGAGTGTCCCGCTTGAGCGGCAGCGATGAGAGGCGTCCTGCTTTCCGCATCCATCGCTTCGGTATCCGCCCCCCTGGACACCAACATCCTGGCGCAGCCAGAGTGCCCCCGTACGGCTGCCACGTGAAGGGGGGTCCGGTGCAGAGCATCGATCAGGCGGACGCACCGATCGTTGCCGAATCGATGGCAAACTGCCTCCAGACAGCGCTCCACGCCCGAGAAGCTGCAAAGAACAATGACTTCAACAGTATTTCCGTGAATATTGATATAAAAAATATAAAATGGATGTTTGTGCAATCCCCAAAGTATGGCCACAACAGCATAGTGTTACGTAATATTACGTTAATAACCGATTGTACATTGGCTACTTTAGCCTAAACTCAGTTGAGCCGAGGTTAAATCGTTCGTATAGCATGCAACTTACGCTCGCAAGGAATATATGTTATTTTTGACTATCTCCTGAAGCATACAGATAGTGAATTATTATTTGAACGGTATTAGGAATTAATTATATCAAAGATATCCAAAAGGATAGCCCAAGTATTGATTAAAGTAAACTTGTGTAGATCATTACTGTATTCACTGCAAACCAAACTGCGTATAACGAAAACAATAAAAAATTCAAGTTTAAGAGCAAATGTATAGGGAAATCTATGATGTATGAAATATGTCTAATAGGTTCGTAGAATTACCGGAGTTGGAAACGTATAAATTGTTAGCACAAACAAAATAACATACACTCTCCTCTACCCCTACAACCTCCAACATCCAATTTTTAATCCCTACAGAGTATTTCTTGATCAGGATCTTCTGAAACGAATTTTGCTCCGCCGCCACTGGATCGATTTTCAAAAACTACAAAGCTTTTTCGTTCTTGACATAGTAACCTTATTTGAAATTTTCATCAAAATCCAGCGGAACTTCTCAAGTTGTAGACGGACCAATGATTAGCGAACAGACAGATATACCGAGAGAAATTAGTGACATTGTCATCTATGTACGTATCATATAACATGCCAAAAATATAAAATAATAATGAAACGTCTTTATTGGGCGAAGTTTAGCATTAAGCTATTCTCCACCTAACCCGTGAAAAGTAAGCAATATAGAGCACTAAAAATTTACATACTTGTATAATTTCACCATTTAATGATATAGTCAAATATTTCTTCATTTGATTTCTAAATTTTTTAGGAGAGAATATAATAACTTTAGATATAATCTGAAATTATGAATTTTGCATACTTGTCGAATTTGAGCCTCAGCAATTATTATATTGTCAGTATAAAAATTATTAATCAAATTCAAGCGTATAACCAAATGAAAATGGTATTTAACATTTTGGATTGGTATTTACCGATCCGTTCAAGCGAGGGTGGTTATCAGTTTGGTTATAAGATCCGTAACGTCATGAATCAACTGTAATATGTCATAGTTATCACCTCAAAATTGTGGTATTTACCCAACTCAGGAGTAGTTTTATATTTCTGGTTATTATTTGAAATGTGACAAGTTAGAATTTTGCCGGGTATTGGATATTTTTATTATTATTATTATTATTATTATTATTAAACAAATTTCAGTTGAGTACAAGTACTATAAACTCAAACACAAAAATAGATAATAGTGTACAGACAAAAGAAATATAACAATTTGACAATCTTAGCACTTCTGAAGTAGACATATACAGAATGGGAACAATATGTTAAGCACTGCGGTGTCTATCGTAATTGTTTTTGAAACTGTTGACGGATTCCGAGTTCACTACATAAGATGGAAGACTGTTCCATGTATCGAAGACACGGTTTGAGATGAAGCGCTGACGAGTAGAGGTTCTAAAACCTTCCTTCTGCAATTTGAAGTTATGGCCTCTGAGACTGTTCGTTGCCAGACGAAACAGAGGCGACATGTCCACACCAAACAAATTATGCAGTGCTCTGAAAGTGATGATGAGATCTCCTCGTACTCTTCTATCAGCAAAAGCAGGCAGGTTATATAGCTCGAGGCGGTCTTCATAACTTGGCCTACGTGTGCCATATGGCATACGTGTAGCACGACGCTGAACGGCCTCTAATAAGCTGCTATCGCGAACAAGGTTTGAATCCCATACCGGACCAGCAAACTCCAGTAGGGGTCGTACGAAAGTTGTGTACAAAAAGGAGGAGGTACTAACGGTGCAACCGCTAAATGATCTTTCCATCATATATAGCAACCGCTTTGCCTTAGAGGTTATGTTCTGAATGTGCTCCGACCAGGTGAGCCGGCCATTAACTGTCAGACCAAGATCTGTGTGATGAAGAACAGTCTCTAAGGTATGTTTGCCAATCTTATATGTTAAGTTAGGATTATTCTTTCCCAGGTGGAGAACGTAGCATTTCGATAGATTTAAAGGCAGGAGCCAAAGTTCTGACCACTTTCTGATCAGCTTGAGGTCTTCTTGAAGCACAGATGAGTTCATGACAGTGTTATAGACTTTAGTATCATCTGCATAGATGGTACACATAGAATAAAGTCGGGTGGGAAGGTCGCTTGTATAAAGAAGAAAAAGTATTGGCCCTAGCACAGATCCTTGTGGAACTCCACTAGTAACACGATTGCTAGATGAATAGGCGTCTCCAACACGGACGGAGAAAGATCTGTCTAACAAAAAAGCTTCAATCCATAACAACAAATTTCCCCTGATTCCGAGATGTTCAAGCTTGTGCAGGAGCCTTTTATGCGGAACTCGATCGAAAGCTCTGGAAAAATCCAGAAAAACCACGTCGACCGGTTCATTTGCGTCTAAAGATCTGGTCCAATTGTCAATGCAGTGTAACATGTTGGTGATAATTGATCTACCAGGAATAAAACCATGTTGGTTGCTAGGCAGCAGGTTGTTCTTGAACGCAAATGTCATAAGTTGTTCCTGGACGATCTTTTCGGCTATTTTCGCAGCTATAGGCACAAGACTGATAGGACGGTAGTTTTTCGCAGATGTTTTATCTCCTTTTTTGTATATAGGTGTCACAGATGCAGTACGCCAACAGGAAGGAAGGATGTGATTTTGAATCGAGGAGTTGAATATAATGCACAGGGGGTATGCGAGAGCTGAAGCACAGGACTTCATAACGGCAGAAGTAATCCCATCCTTTCCAGGGGACGAACAAGTTTTCAGTTTAGTAAGGTGCCTCTCAATGTCCTGAGGTTGAAAATCTATGCTACAGATGGTCGCTAGGCATCTATGAGGGCTGGATAAGTTCGGAAGAGTACCATCACCATCAGGTTCATTCACAAAGTCTTCACTGAAAGCAACGGCAAGAAGATTGGCAGATTTTTCGGCATCAGTATGTAGGTGGCCATTGGGATCACGGATTTGTGGGGAAGAAACCTTAGAGTTCAGGGTGGATCTCAAGTATCTAAACAACTTCTTCTTATCTTTCGATAATACAAGATTTTGCTCATAATTGCGCTTGGCGTTTTTCAAGTTCTTCGAAAGTATGTTAGAGAAAGATCGATGAGATACATAATCCTGTTGTAGTCTACTTCTTTGGAATCTTTGCCATAACGCTTTTTTATGCCTCAACATCCTTGAGAGGTCATGGTTAATCCAAGGCTTTCTTGGGTGACTGAATATCTTCTTTGTGGTCGTATGCCTAGTGACTTCCAGTTGGATTCGACGAGAGAATATATCCCACATATCTTCAGTGCTACGTTGTGCAAGCAGGTTGGACCAGTTTATTTCAGACAATGCTCGATTGAGAGCACTGTAGTTTAATAGCTTCACAGTTTTGAAATGTCTACGTGATGGAGTTTGTAAATAGAATTGAAGTGAGGTCAATAAGGTACAGTGATCCGACTTGCCAAAAGGAGGTAGGTAGTCTAGACTGGAAACAAAGTCAGGATCATTTACAAATATCAGGTCGAGAGTTCTGGGAGTTTGACCTTCTCTGAATCTCGTCGGATGATCTACGAGTTGGAGGATGTTCGACTTACGCATTAAATCAATATAAGGGGCAGAATGAGAGTTGCATTCTGGTAATGTTGTGATGGGCCAGCTGATGTCACGTAAGTTGAAATCACCAGTTAACAGAATGTTTGAATTCTTGGTTAGAAGTTCTTCGATGAATTTACACAAATAAACATCACCAGCACAGGGACGCGGTCTGTAGATACAGGCTAATACAAAACTGAAGTTTGGCCGTGTTAGTTCCAAAAAGAGGCTGTCGATACCATCGAAGCTCTTGGAAGTAATAGTTATTGTGAAATTGTCAGCAAATTCGGTACGTACATAAACACAGACCTCACAATACCCCGGCGTGCGAGGGGAATCTACCCTATACAAACAGTAACCAGGCAAATTAACAACATAGTCAGGTATATTAGGGCTGAGCCAGGTTTCTGTCAGACAAAGAAACGAAGGTTTGGTTCCATCAACAAATGCTTGCACTTCGAGAAGTTTAGATACCAGTGACTGAATGTTTGTGTAGCACACCGACACCTCGGTTAGCAGTTTTTTGATATAGAAGATTGCTGTGCAACAATATTGACAATGGATGGTCTACCCTTGACATATTTAATCGTGATATTGCGTTCTCCAGCCGTTAGCCTTCGTTTCAACTCCTCACGTAGTTGCTGCAGCTCATGCATTTGTGACGGTGTTTTGTCGTCCGAAATTTTAACGGAGTTATAGGTAGAGTGGCTTAAAATATCATTCTTCTTGCGTAGAATATTCTTAGCTATTATAGGCGATGCAAAGCCAACCTTTATCAACCGAGAACGAGATGTACCTACAGCACCAAGTCTGGTCATATTGAGGCGGTATCCATTAGCAGACGGTTCGATGTGGTTGATTATGTCTGTTACGGAATCAGAATCATTGTTGCCTTCAGGAAGACCTTTCAGGATAATATTGTGAGATCGTCTGAGTATTTCCCAAGTTTCAGTCGGAGATGATGGGATATTGTTAGCGTTGGTATTCAACGATCTATCATTTACCAGTGCATTGGTCAGTCTAGATTCAACGTTCGAAATGTTGGATAAGATATGCTTGCGCACTTTGAAGTTGCTGAATACTAGCCTCACAATTAGAGATCAGTTCGTCATGGCGAACAATAGAAGCCGAATGCTGTTGTAGCAATGACATACAATGGGAGACATCGTTGCTTAGTTGTGCTTGTGAGTTTTTGATGTCTCCAATGTCATTGGCCATGGTCGACAATTGACACAAAATGAGTGCTAGAGGATCAGAAGCAGTCGCTTCGTCAGACCGATGAGGGGAGACCGCTGGTCGAGCACTAGTTGATGAGGACGACGAGTTGCTACGAGTAACTCTACCACGTCTACAGCATGCTGAACAAACCCATTTGTTGTCACCGTTTTCGGCGAAATAGCCGATCTCTTTAGTGGTCAGGTTAACACAATTAGCGTGGTGACTTTTCAGGCACTTGGAGCATAAGATATGCACTTGAGAAGTGCCAATTAATTTGGAACATGTAGCGCAAACTTGGTTCATTGTTAATTATCAACAAGTTATAGGAAGGGAGAGGGTACAGGAAGACGCACTTCACTCTATTGGGTCGATAATAGAGACTCACACACAAAGAGGTAGACCACGGATAGGATAAGGAATAGAAATAATGAAAGGAATCGTCTCAGAGCCTCCGTGAGTAGACCACAGAACCACGAAATAAATCAGTCAGCTACTTTACTTTACTACTTCTTTATCAGGTGATACACAAAAAGGAGGATTCTAGTTCAAGGTCAACAAAATTGTTGCACCAGAAATGGTCGCTCGGCAGAAGAAAATTGAACATACGAAGCCAATGAAACTACTCACAAACTGTTCCTAACGTGTGGGAAACTCACAACAAAGAATCAAAATAATTATAAGCCGGTTATACACTATGAAACCGTAATCAAATCGAAAGAGATGCATACCTACTTCAGCTTCATGTTTGGGAAACCTGATACAGGCTGACGATGACTTCAGTTTTAGCATAAAGTAGAGCACCTTATTAGTTATAATCATTACTGTTGTCGGGGACACGTTAAATCTAGTTCCTATGCTTAACAAAGTATCCTGTGTAGCCATGTACCACAACCATATTAAAATATGGCCGTATGAACTCACTGGATGTTGTCCACCTGTATACGGTTTTGCTAATATCTTTTTTCATCGCTTTTTCCAATCATTTCTGCTAGTTCAATAAATGTTTTCTTTGTTGTTCTTTGTTTGAATTGAAGGTTTTCATAGCTACAAAATCTTGGTTCCATCATTAAAAAAAAATATCTGAAAAAAAAATGTCTCCTATTAATATTATGAAAGGTTTATTTTTCAAGCTTTCCATACACCGTTGTAGACGAAAAAGCACCGATTATTAAGTGATAATAAAAATAATAAGAAATTATATACGCGCTTTTCTAAAATAAACAACTTGCAACAAAACCGCGGTTAAAACCACCGCTCTCTTAGCGATTCGAGTAACTGGCGTCATCAACCCGAGTGTCATCTTGAACCATATTATAACCGCGGTACATAACACAGAAATTTCGGTTATTCGCTTGGATTTGATTATTGTACAACTGCGATTCATCCGCAAAAAACTGAATATTGTAGTGTTTAACATTCTTATCAAGATCGGAGATATATAGAATAAAAACAAGTGGTCCAAGAACCGATCTTTGAGGCACTCACAATGATATTACAGCCTCAGAAGAAGTGTTCATATCGATGACTCTTTGTAATTTATTTCTTAAAAATCTATTGATCAGAGAAACCATAAGATTTATATTTGGCTGCTAAAAGAGAACGTTTGATAGTGCTAAACGCTTAGTGGAATTAACGAAGTTGTTTGATCGTTATCCCAAGCCCTGACAATATTGTCAGTTAGATCTAACAATGCAGCAGCAGTATTATATTCCTTCCTAAAACCGCATTTTCTAGCTGATAGGATTAGTATGCAATATTTAAAAACATAATTATTCATTTGTATATACATTGCCTTTTCCAATAATTTGGAAAGTATAGGTAAAATGCCAATAGACCTCAGGTCAGTATACGCGCTAAGATTACTTACTTTGGGCAAAGGTAAAACGAGAGCTTTTCCATGATTCTAATTTTTTTTTTTAATATGTAATATATGTATTGAGATTGTGGGAAACATAATTTAAGCATTTCCAAATGCATTGGATTTTGAGGAATAAAATATTACGCGCAACTTTAACATATATAATTTAAAGCTACAATAATAATTATAATACATTCTTTTTAAAAAACTACTACAATTACGTAACATAGAAATATTCCGAAAAACAAAACCTGCATCTATAAGAACGTTTAAATTACAAGTAGACTTTATATCATTATTTAGTTTATTAAATTCAAGTAATCCCTTCTTAAAAATTGATTTGCTAGTTATATTACTGTTGCAATTTTGTAAATGGAAATCTATATTCCTCTTGTATAATAATTGTGCCAACAATTATTCAGTTCTATGAAATGTTCTAAATGTTGCGGCAAAACATGATTTTTTATTTTAATTAAAAAAAATTATATTCAACCACTGCAATTCTTGTAACATAGATTTTGGTGTACTTATTTTAATTCAATATTGCTTATTTTGTATGACCTGTAATTTTGAAAATACAGCTTCATTGGCAGGGAACAAGATAGTTGATGAATATAGTAAATGCGGTAGAATCAAGGTAGAATAATTGTATAATATTATACACTATTTTTCTGGAATATTTACTAAGACTATGAGAAACCTATAACAGTAATTTATTCTTTTGGCAATTTTTGAAATAATGTATTCATAAACTTTACTTTATTATCGAAATACAGGGTGTTTCAAATTCGAACCTCACCATTGGGATCTCGGAAACTGTAAGAGATACGAAATCGCTTAAATGGGGTCCAGGTTGGATATTTATGTAATCACCAAAATCCCGCTTAGAAAGTTTCGAAATACAAAATACTTCCGGAGAGAAACGGAAAAAACAGGAATTGATAAATAATTTCAAGGCCTACCTAGGAACTTTTGTTTTCCTGAAATAACTAAGGTTTGGCAATGTCAATGTATAACATGTTATATATTTTTGAAATAAGAATTAAAAACTGTACAAATATCCAATATGGCGTACATAAGAAAACATAAACTTTATGCTTCAGGACAAGAGATGAAACGTCATATTGAAATTCTTATTATGTAATGTTGTAGAGGAGAAAAAGTGGCAATGTTAATATGCAATTTCTTTTGAAATTCCATCTCAAATAAAGTCAGGAGAAAATTAAAGTGATTTTGGGATAAATCTTAGTAGGCGAAACAAATGATTATTTCACGGCCTACCTAAGAAACTGTACTTTTTTAAAATAACTAAGGTTTGACAACGTCAATGTATGACGTAATATGCATTTTTGGAATCATATGGCGTCTATAAGAAAAAATAAAGTTAATGCTGGAGGACAGGAATCTTTCTAAGGGGCATTTTGTTGATTACCTAAATACGCAAATTTGTCACCTTTAAGCGACCTTGTATCTATTACAGTTTCCTAGATCGCAATGGTGAGGGCCGAATTTGAAACACCGTGTATATACCCAAATATTTAATTGATACAATTTTTTCAATTATTTCACAATTTATAACTGTGATAGTATTTTCATTTAAGTATTTCCCTGTTAGGATATATTTTATTTTAGAAGCATTCAGTTTTAGTTTATTTACACTTAACCAATTTATGATTTTTGCGAAGTCAGAATTTAGCATATTTAAAGCAGTGTTTATATTTTCATCTGATAATTATTAAATCGATAATTTTTCTTGATTGATTTATAATTCCTGTGTGATCATAGACTTTTGCCATATACCATAAAAAATGAGTACCTATTTAAACTTCTTTGCGTAGAAGTCTATCAAAAATTATATTAAAATCACCCAAATGTACCGTGACACAGTTTCGATAAAAATGTTTCTCACAGATATTTTCCAAAAAATCAATAAATGTGTTTATATTTCCCATTGGAGATCTTGAGTAAATATGTAAATTATAATAAATTGATCTTAATATTCAATTCAACATTGATATACCACCACTGGTACTCAACATCTAGAATTCCTTTTAGTCTAGTTTCTATTTCACATAAAATATATAATAATATATCACTTGTCTGTCTTGAAATTGTGTTTGCTCTTACAATTTGATAGCCTTCAATTCCAATTTTTTATCGTCAATATCCTCTGTGTGATGTGTTTCAGTTAAACAGAGCATTATCGGCTTCACTGACATCAAATAATATGAAACCACATCTTTTTTAGATAGAAATTCCTGAATACTTATACGGTAAATATAATTTGCATATTCTTTTATCTGTAACTGCTATGCTTTATCACTATAATATGCTTTGGCCTGTGTTTTCTTATATTCTGTTTGGACTATGCTGCACATCTTGTTAAAAGGTGAATGTTTATGTCGAAATTTGTTTCAGATTTTGAATTACATTCTTTACAATTTGGACAAGTGACTTCATTTTCTGGTATGTCTGGGGTTGACGTCCACTTTCACCCCATTTCAAACAAATACCATTCTTGGAGCAGTTCTTTGCTGTATGATAGAAACCAGCACAATTGAAACATATTAGCAGGTTATAATGTTAAAAATTGTACATACATCCATAGAAGATATAAAAAGTACACCTTCTTTCATAACTAAATGTAATCTCATCTCGCTCCAAGATAGCTTGATATCGGTGTTTCATATTGTAATCATATAAATATTGGATGAATGATGTTGAAAACAACAAAAATATTTGTTTACTTCGGTAGGAACTTTGAGGCCTGTGGGAATCTCGCTATATTTAGATTTTGTATACGCATTGATATGAGAATCATATAAACATTTTCAGAATCATTTTATGGACAAGGAAATCTTAAATAAGCTGCCTTTTCTAATTTTTCCTAATGTTGAGTTCCCCAATCTTTTGTAAAAATTTCATGATATCTCTGATCCGTCACGTCGAAATGGAGTAAGTGCTTTATTTTTCCTCTCAATTCATATACAATTTGCAGACGATTCATGTGTTTCAAGGTAATACACTTGATATGGTATTTTTTCTTGGCTTATGTTATATCAAATGATATCAGCCTCTTGGTCGATTTCAGTAATTCTTTAATGAGTGCGATAACCAACTATTTTTATTTTTGGCCTCAACATCTTCGATTCTGACACTCTGTAAACTGCAACGTGTATTTCAACTCCTCCATTGTTAGAATTTTTTTACTTGTTCTACTTTCATATTCATTTTGAACAAACGCAATTTTTTGTAGAGGTAATTCCTGGTTTTAAAAAGGAGGGAGTTTAGTTTCTCGAAAGAAGTAATAGACTCCTTCTCAGCGATGTGACACGTTAATGAATCAAACTGCTCATGTATTTTCCTCTTTTCATTTGTGAGTTGATGAATTACTTTATCCTTCACGGTAAGCAGCTTTTCGTAAAGTTACAGCTTATCAGCTTGTAACCCCTTGTCTCAGTTATTCATTTTTGTTTCAAATATCCACAACCTTTCAATGTTTTCTTCTTATAATTGATCGTACTTTTTACATCTTCAACATGAGTGGTCGTTTCATTTCACTATCTTCATCAGTTTTGTTTTTCTTCTTGCTTATTTTGCACACCCAGTATGATAGATAGGATTCTCTTATTTATAGTATGTATAATGCCAGAGCAATGTCAAAATTTCCGTTAATATAAAATGGCTCTTTTCGGAGCAGCGGAAATTTATCTTTCGCAAAATGAGCAAAATATGGTGAATAAAGTGGGAGAGGTGAGGATCTACTTTGTGGGTATCTCATCCTCGAAAATTTTCCTAATTAGAATACTCCCTCACCAGTGTTGTAGGAAGTAAAAATCATCTCTAAATTATTTAGTAACTATTATTGAAATGACCAATGAGTGCCAAGGGAGTATAGGTTTTCATTCACAAAATTGCAGTAGTCATATAACAAACAAATAGCTGTTCCAAAAGAATTGTAAGTAATGGTAACAAGAGTTTGAAAAAATTTCATGATAATTCATTTAATTTCAATTTCATATTAGTGATATAAATGTGAACGTCGGTCCAGTCAGCATCACGTCTGAACCATAAGGACAGATGTAAAACTTACTATAGTCAACGCCAAACAAAGTGGCGTGCACGTCATCACGATAAAAATTCCCCGACCTAATGCCTAGGTTTCTATCACAAACAATTGCTCTATTGCAGTTTCATATTAATGTGATATATAAATTGTAAAATGGTCATTACTCTCTTATTATGGTTAATAGTCATATAAACATTGTTATTAAAATATCACACAAGTTGCTTTCTGATAAATTTAGACGCATTATGCGAAATAAAATGTTTTGCAAACGCTCCAATCACTTATCGACATGTAAACGCACTAAACCGATTTCGCAGCGTTGACACATTGTCACCTTGAAACTTATTTAAACTGGGAACTGACATTTGTATTAATTTTGACACTGAATCAATTTGTGGCATTTCAAATCTTTATAAATCCTTTGGCCCCGCATACTGTAAATCAACAACTGTTTGTTTCAAAACAAAATTATTCATTTTACGAGTAGATAAAGGCAATTTTGGTATATAAAGATGCCCAAACAGTTAAAGAGTCGGTGTAAGGAACTCGTGGCCTCGTTAATGCACTACTTTGAGCAAGAAAGGGACAACAACGGGCCTTTGTTGCCTTTAAATGCTGTTCAAGAGGTAGGTTACTAATAATTATATGTAATGTATATTAATAATAGTGAAATTTTATTTCGCGTGTTGCTGCTGCTTTAAAAATTAGTTTAAGGACAGTTAGTCGTATTTCCGAGGGTGTGAAAAGTGATGCAAATTTAGAATCGCCCAAGAAAAAGCGGAGTTATATTAAACGTGTAACCAACACAGCGACATTGGATACAAGTGCCATTCGAGAAGTGATCTATAATATGTATCACAAAAGTAAGATCTTATTATAATAACTTATCAGAAATTTGCATTAATTTGTTAACTAAATTATAATGTCATATTACACATGGTTTCAGAAGAACAAGTTACGATACAAACTTTATGGTCTCGATTAAGAGATAGGGCATTATTTGATGGTAGTGCCACGTCTTTAAGGCGGTTGCTTAGAGATCTTGGATTTAAGTGGCTTAAGGACAATCCGCGACGAGGGCTCATGGAACTACCAAGTATAGCTTTGAAAAGGGTGGAATTTCTAAGGCAATACAATCAAGCCAAGGTTGAGGCCTAGTACCAGTTTGTCTTCCTCGATGAAACTTGGATATTTCAAAATGGGACCATAGGTCGCTCTTGGCAAAATGGAAATAAAAAAAGCGTGAAAGCTATTAAAACAGATGGTAAAAGGTATGTACTTTTACACAATTTGCACTATAAAATTTAAAACTAATATATTTTAGATACATTATATTACATGCTGGAAATGAAAATGGGTTTATTGAGGGTAGTGAAGCGATATTTTCTTCGAAAACAAAATTGAGCGATTACCATGGAGAGATGAACCAGGACAATTTTTTGAAATGGTTTCAACATCAGTTATTAGAAAAATTGGAGAGTCCATCTATGATTATACTGGATAACGCCCCTTATCACAGCATGATATTGAACAAAGTGCCCAACAATGCATGGACAAAAAAAAATATCCAAGACTGGTTGACAAATCAAAACATACCATTTTTAAACACAATGTTTAAAACAGAGCTATTGAGTATTGTTGCTCGGTACATAATGCTTCTTAATTATATATATTTTGGTCGACAGTTTATATTTCTTTTGTTTATTCCTATTCTTAAAATAACTGCTTTTTTAGAAACAAACCACCTAAAATATACGTGATTGATGAATTGGCGGAACAACATGGGCACAAAGTTCTTCGTCTGCCTCCTTACCATTGTATATTTAACCCTATTGAGTTAATTTGGGGCATAGCAAAAGGTTACTATAACAGACATATTGGTAGAGATGGTAACAGTGAAAAAGACTGTTTGGATATGTGGAACGAGGCTCTACAAACGGTTACCCCAGACATGTGGAAAAATAGTGTTCGACATACTGAGCAAGAAATTTTTAAATGGTATGAAAGAGAACGAATTTTTGATCGACCAGACATCGAACCTTTAATAATCAACTTTGAGAGTGATGAAGATTCAGATTCAGACATCGCTGAAGAAAGAAACTCCGACTAACTTTATTGTACAGAAAAAGCTTACACCAGTAGCTTACCTAATTTTAGAATGCATTTTTCTGTATGAATTCTGTAAAATAAATACCATGCATAAAATTTGGAGGACCCCATTTGGATTTTTATTCAGTACCTTTAAGCTATCAATTAAATATGGTAGTTTCATAGTGTCATCTGATCAATAATTGTCATACTTAATGATTATGCAAGTACAGATCTATAATTTTATTATACTATTATTTTTGTTCTCATTTGAGGTTAATATTGCTTATAAACCTAGATATGTAAATAATAAATTTTATTATTTTACAAAAAGTTTGGCAACAATTTAAATTTTTCAACATACCCACCTTGATGACGTGCACGCCACTTTGTTTGGCGTTGACTATATAGTTGTATTCACGGTTTTTGGCGGTTCAACGTAAAACTACAGGAATTGCTTTCATACATCCATCTCTCTTATACATGCAACCTACCCCTGTGTCTGAACGTTTGTTCGGTAAGCTCAAAGATGTTTTTTAGTTGTGTATCTCCGTCTCAAAACTTTGTCATTACGTATGAGTGCCCATCAATCATATTTGTCAGAGTGACAACTTACTTGACATCGACGTGCAATCTGAGTTGTCCTGTTACAAATATTCAATATAAAATTGTACAATGCCCGGAAAAACGATCAATGGAGAAGGCCGACAGCTCGTGAGTATTTCCAGGAACAGAATGAAAACCGCGGTCCCCTGTCACCCACCTCATGCGTACTGGAGAGAGCAGCAGTTGCGCTGAAGATTAGTCTGCGCCCATGGTACGGAGACTCGATCTGTCTATTTCATATGGCGCAGATGACGTAACCGTCAGGAACGGTAATTACAACTATAACTGAAACCCGACAGTTTTATCTGCGAATATATACAGGGTGTTCAAAAAGTGTGGATAGATAAAAAAATCAAAAAATGTTGAACAAAGTTGTAAGGTTTAAAAGGACTCATCTATTGCTGATCTTCTACCTTCAAGGTCATTTGAGGTCAATACAATTTTCTTAAATGACACCAGAAAAGTAAAGAGAGAGAACTTTTACGTCTTTGCCATGACCTTGACCATGATATGATCTTCATGGGTATTTGATGGTGTCCAGAAAGTAGGAAAAGGGCAACATATCTTGAAAAATACATTTCACAGAGAAAAATGTTGTATAATAAAGTTGTAGCGTTTAAAAAGATTCGTTAAATGGTGAGTTTAAACGTGACCTTGACTAATAACTTCAAGCTCATTTTAAGGTAAAGACAGTTTTCTTAAATGGAAATCCCTATTTTTGACACCGGAAAAAGACCAATAAGCTATATGTTCAAATATGTACATTACCTTGACTACGACCATTTGAAAATAAAATGCTTTTTAACGGAAAATATCTATTTTTAATCCCTGAAAATTTGCGGACAATTTCAACTTCAAGTACATCCTTACCCGATTAACCTGACCATGACTTTCAAGGTCATTTTAAGATCAGATCAATTTTGAAGTAAATTCACTATTTTTTGACGAGGAAAAAAAAAGCGGAACATTGAAATTTATTTATTGTTGCATTAACATGTTGGATATTGTCAAATTAACTAATGCATTACTTTGAATATTGCAAAAACTTTGAGGAGAATTACGTCCGCGTTGTGAGTTATTACTGTTAGCATGTATAGCTTGTAATTCGACAGTGTACAGTGAATATAATTATTTCTTATCTCTCTCATTTTTGCAATTCAGCAAATTTGCATATTTAATTTCCAGAATGGATAAGAAAAAATGGATGCGCAACTAATTTCTAGCTCTAAATCTCAAGCAAGTGCATTTGAGACAAGAATCCAATCGAATTATAATCAACACGTACAACTTACAGCTCAGACCTCCAGTAATGCTATCAGACCCAAACATTCATAACTGAAGCCTCATGACGTTTAGGCAACACGTACAACTAAGTGCTAAGTTAACATCTTGTAGAAAAACCTACATAATGTCAAAAAAGACAGTATAATGTCAAAAAAATCGATTTAACGACACTTTTCAAGATACGTAACACCCGAGCGGATCCGTTCGTTTTTTTTATACTCCAACTACCACGAAGACCTAAGGCCTAAGCACCCATTGGGTACCGTGGGGCTATAGGGGGATACATGGGAAAGGGGGAACGCCACACGGACTCTGGCGAGGGAACACGTGTGCATGCAACATGCACACATTCTGGCTCCGCCTACGAGATCCGCCGGGTGGTACCTCCGCGTTCGACAGACAGAGACCGTCTACCACCTACGGACAATCACAACATCCATAGCCAAGAGAAAAATTTCTCCTGGGACGGGACTCGAACCCGCATAGCGCACGGCGACTGATCAGGAGACGAAGAGTCTACTACTGCGGCCACCGCTGCTGCTTAAGTTTAGTCTAGTTTTATCTAGAAATATGTATACTTAAAGACACAAATAATATTGTGTGATATACTATGTAACATTAATAATGTATCATTAATGGTGAATAAATCTATACCAAAGAAACAATATTTGCGAACACTTTAATCCCCGTACTCAGATAATGAGCGTCTACAAACTGTCGACAAACAGTATAATGACAATTATTTTGAAGTTGGCTGACATATCACCTGATATTTTACCCACATATATTTTTAATAGTAATTTGATGATCTTGCATTGTCAATCACACTATTTTTATATGTGCTCGTCTTATAATGTGGCAGACTGAATACTGAAAATATGTTTACATCGAATCTTTGATTTACTTTAAACGCCAAAAAAGGTAAGTTGAGTATGCAGCATTAATACTTACGCAGCACAGTGAACTGGTGAAAAAACATTTCCATGCAGTTCTTTAAATATATCCTTCTCTATCAAATATTCAACACAATTTGCATGACCTGAAACAAAATAAACTTTATGTAGACCCCAGTTTTTTATTATTTCACAAATATGCTTCCATGACTGGATTTCATTAAAATGTCACACTATTCGATTTGTCAACAGGTACGTAACCAATATCTAAAAGCAAAAATTATAATAAAAATACACTATTTGTATTCTATATGTATAATCAGTTGAGGCATTAGTATAGTATTTTCAGGTAAAGCAATAAATTGAATTCAGTGGCAGGATAAGTTTTAAACAGACTTACCATTATAACAGGCCCAATGCAATGCAGTACAAAGTTGATTGTCTTCTGCCCTGATTTCCTCGTCAGTCATGCAATTCATGATGACCTGCATACACGTTAAATGACCACAGGCGGCCGCCAAGTGAAGGACGGTTTTGCCGTTTACATCGCTCTTTTGTACGTTCGCGTTGTGTGTCAGCAGTAATTGGACGATGCTGTTCTGACCATTCACCACCTTCAAGTGGAAACATTTTTGATATTGAATTGATAAATACGAAAATGAAGTCAACAGCCATTAGCAATGAGGAAACTTAGATATGAAGTTGATATAAACATGTGATAATGTCAAATTGATTGCGTTCATCAGACGTAAAGAGATACCGATACGCTGAAACGGTATCATTTGAGAAAATGCTGTAAAACTCGCAGAAAACGTCAAAAACTGAATCAAGCTGACAATATATTTACCAATTCAACTACGCCAAAGTAGGGGAAAAGTAGCGCCCCGTTCACTAGAATTTAGACCGACAGTTTCGAAATAGTTGTTTCAAATAAGTGCGATCATTTTCAACTACCCCTATGTAATGTACAAGTACAAGTAAGAATAAATGATACTAAGTTACTTAATATCAGCCTTTTTATTCATACAATGATCTGTCATGAAAATGTGGGACATTTCCGAGAATAAGACATTTTGGAAGGTGTTCTTCTTTGTCAAGAACCCTAATACTGCTATAACTCATATAATGACCTGCAGTGTTAACATGTGATGTCAAAGCACATCTTTCTGGGTGTAGTCTGGCTTTACTTTTGTGTGAAGTTATTCTGCCTTGTAAAGATCTAGATGTTTGGCCTATGTAAACTAAATTACAGTTGTTGCAATTAATGCGATAGACAGTGTTAGTTAAGGTGGTTGGTCACGTTTTTTTATGTTGTATTTTTGGGGCCGCTGATTGGATTTTTGTGATGGTCTGTAGTGGTGCTTTAATAATGCTATTATTAGGTTTTATACACTTTGTTCAAAAATTTACGAATTTTTTTTTGGTCCAATTCTTTCCATACTTTCTCGAAAAATATCAATGCGACCGAGTACGAATTTCGTGTCCACATTAAGTTAAAGTATGTTAATGTCATGAGCCCATTGTATTAAAAAAAATGGTTTTTTGGGCAATATTATCTGATAACTTTTCTACCAAACTTTTTTATCACGTCTTGGGTGGGTCATGACATGTAAATTATGACACCCTGTCGACACGTGAAGAAATTTTTAAGATTACTTAAAAAATGAACGAGATAATATGGAAATACGATAAAAAAAATCTATTCGACCACGCTTCCCACTCGCTCCACCCATTTACCGGAGCCAAGCTGTCAAGCATCTCGCCGTATGCAGCCTAGTTGTCAGATTGTTGAAAACAAGCAAATTTCAGAAACCAGCGCGGTTTTTTGGAATTTGGATATGTTATAATATTGATACATTGACAACCTATGACGACACTTGAAATAGACGGAGAGATGCGAAAATTTCGACTTCCTAATAACAAATATGAATATTTTATTGCTGGAACTGCTTATATAATGTACTCGTCTTATGCCATTGCCATTGACCATAATGAAGCATTTTGTTAGAAAAAACAAGTACTCTTATTTCACGTGAATGTTTTATAATACTTGGGTATGATAGTGCTGATTATATGTACAGCTCGTCAAGTGTAGGAAGAGATGCGAATTTTTGAGAAATGTCACGCCTTCTCGGTGCGCAGTAACTAGCGGCTCAATTCGCCGGACGAAGCAGTAGTCTCTTGTCGTGGCTAGAGTAGTTAGCGTACAGTCACGAGAAAAATTGTCAGACAGTGAAACAACTATGTTACTTATTATCTGTGAATTGTATGTATTGTTTCGAATTCGTGGGTTGAATACATACAATTTCACGATATTAATTGTCGCCATTTATTCCTTGGTGTTCTAAGAGATTTACTCGTTTATAATGTATTTTAAATCCAAATTACAACGTAAAGTTTTATCAGGATAAATTAGGGAGGTTGTAGCAAATATTATATTCTTTATGTAACGAGAAGCAGAAGGAAATATACCTCTTAAAGATTTAAAGAAACTTCAGGAGCGTGCAGTCATGGCTACAGGACTATCGACTATTCGGAGGATTTCTCGCGAAATGAAATCTGTTGAAGAAGGTGCTTCGACATCTTTTTCGACACCAAACAAAAAAAGACGAAGAGCCACTCCGAAATCTGATTTCCACGACTTTGGTAGAGGGTTGCTTCGACGATCTATAATGATTTTTTACAAATCGGAAAAGAAGGTTCCAACTTTGCGGCACATATACAGGAAATTTATTCAAGAACACAATTACACTGGATCACATAAAGCTTTAAGGAAAGTGATGAGGACAATGGGATTTCGTTGGAGGAAGGCAAGAACTAATAGAAGACTTTTTATGGAGAAACCAGAGATTCAGCATCTCAGGAGAAATTTTCTGAGAGGGATGAAAGAATATAGAGAAAAAAATCGTCTTATAATTTATATAGACGAAACATACATCCATACATCACATACGCATGAAAAGAGTTGGAGCGATAATACCAATAAGGGCCTCCACAGGCCAGTTTCAAAAGGACAAAGATTTATTACTGTACATGCTGGTAGTGAAAATGGTTTCGTGGAAAATGCATATCTGGAATTTAAATCCAATAGTAAGTCGGGTGATTATCATACCGAGATGAACTATAGTAACTTTAAAAAATGGATAAACTGATTCCCAACCTACCATCAAATAGTGTTTTGGTTATAGGCAACCCTCCGTACCACAATGTTCAGATAGACAAATGTCATACTAAGAAGGATGATATGAAAGAATGGCTAAACCAAAAAAAAACATACATTGATCAAAATGCATGAGCCGGCATATATATATATATATATATATATATATATACATATATATATATATCTTATGAAATAGACAGAATAATGGCTGAAAAAGGCAATTGTGTTTTGAGATTGCCACCATATCACCCCGACTTGAACCCAATTGAGTTGGTATGGGCATCTTTCAAACAATTTGTGGCTGAGAGAAATGGAGATTTTAATCTCAAGACTGTCGACAAACTTTGCGACGACTTTTTCTCGTCTTATCCCACAGGAGAATGGAAAAAGCGATGTGAGCATGCCAAAGATTTTGAGAAGCAGTATATGGAAATGGAACCAGCACTCGACTTAGTTGTGGATCAAATAATAATAAACCCAGACGAAGATAGCGATAGCGAAACCGAAGATTTAAGTTTAAGTTTTCCGAACTTTCAGGATTTGATCCTCTGTCTTATAGATACATAGCGTGCAATACTTATTTTATGGAATACACTGTTTTGGTTTCCTTATTCCTATGTTTATCTCATTTATATAAATAATCACATAAATCCAATTTTTAAGCTTTCTTCGATAGCGAACACGTGTGGAAACATAAAACTATTTCTGTGAAACTAATGTATTATGCAATTTTGAAAATATTGAAAAAGTAGTATATAAAACTTGTTTTCTTTTTAGATATACATTTTTAAATGTCTCTGGTGGACGTACAATTGTATTTTAAGATATCCTAATGATATAGATTTGTTAATTTCATAATGCACATAAACTCAACCCACTGAACGAATTTTCTTTTGTTAAGTATACACGACGACACTGACACTCGACAGAAATGTCAACACTAGAGTCGCTTGCGTCTACACGGTAAGCAATTTTTTGTGTCGACTATTATATATATTATTATATTTGTATATACATCTAGTATACCGGTTCAAGTGTATTTGCCGTCTACACGATTCAGTGTCGAACATTTCATCGCCATGAATAGACGTGCTGCTGCCGCGATTGTCGCGATATGTGTTTCCATTAAAATGCGTCGGCGTAAAAAGAGATCTATATGGGTTAAAGATTGGATTAAAAGAAGAGCGCAGCTAGGGGCATATAACCAATTGTTGACTGAATTGAAAAACAAAGATCCAGATTGTTTTAAAAACTTTCTTCGGATGACACACGACGATTTCCAATATTTATGTAACAAGATTTCACCTGCGATTAAGAAGCAAGATACGAATATGAGACTAGCTATTAGTGTAGAAGCACATTTGGCGATAACATTAAGATTTCTGGCATCAGGTAAATCATATTTTTACACCTATTACTACATTTTCAATTATAACATTTACTTTGTTCGTTTCAGGAGATTCGTATCGATCGCTCTCATACCTATTTCGGGTACCACAATAAACTATCTCCAAAATAATACCAGAATGATGCGATGCTATCTATAAATGTTTAATATCGGATTACATGGAGGTAAGTAAATAAAAAAGACATTTATGTTTTATTAATATTTTTCTTTAGTTATTAATATAAAAGGTGAAGCTTGGTCAATTGACAAACTTAGTACAAATGTTCGTACGTTGTGTCTTCCGAACTTTCCCAAGTCACATTTGGCAGTGGAGTAAGAGGACCAAGAGACTGTGAAGTAGATGGACGTGAATATTGATCGGCTTCATCCAATTCTTCCATGTCCAGAATGATACGTTGAATTTTACGTTTTATTTCTCTTTTTCGGGATTCCGACCTCATATTCCGTATCGCCGCAGCCACGAAATCACCAAAAATGGCAGCATCATCAGATTTGTCTAACACGCTTAATGCTCGGTCTAAAGCTTCATCTTCCTTCTTTCGTTTTTTAGAGGTTCGTTGAGATTGAGAGAGGGTGTTGGAGTTTTGCGAAACTGTTAATTCCAAATTTTCGTTGTTGGCAGGTTCGCTGTTGGTAGGAGAGTTCTGAAAATAATAATAATAATAATAATAATAATAATAATAATAATAATAATAATAATAATAATAAATGTTTATTTCAGTCATAGATTAATTTATTTTTAATTTTTATTACAGGTACCTTCATCTGAAGATTGCTGGGAAAAAAATTCAGAAGATTTCAAAAACAAATGGAATTTTCCAAATGCTCTTGGAGCACTAGATGGAAAGCACGTGGTCATAAAAGCACCCCAACATAGTGGAGGCGTGTACTATAATTATAAAGGTACATTCAGCATTGTGTTAACACATTAATGGCATTAGTTGATGCCAATTACAAATTTATTTACACAGACATAGGATGCAATGGGAGAATCTCCGATGGAGGCGTGTTTGCAAATTGTTCACTTTCAAATGCTCTAAGCGACGGCAGACTTAATATACCACCACCAAGGCCACTTCCCGGTAGGACCAAATATGTACCCTATGCCATTATAGCTGATTATGCTTTTCCATTGAAGCCTTATCTTATGAAACCGTTTCCTTTTCGTAATCAACCTGGTCCTAATCGTGTTTGTAACTACAGACTGTCGAGAGCTCGACGAGTGGTAGAAAATGCGTTTGGTTTACTTGCAAACAGATTTAGAATATTAAGGAAACCTATAGAATTATGTCCTGAAAAAGTTATAAAACTTGCATCTGCAATCTGCGTGTTACATAACTTTCTCTTGGAACGGAATTCAAGGCATGTGTATGCACCACAAGGCACCTTCGACGAGGAAATTGATGGTGTAGTAACTCCTGGCAGTTGAAGACAAGATCCCCCTCCGGATAATGTATTGTTTTCAAATAGACCAGTGGGATCCAACATGTCTAATGAAAGTAAAGAAATCCGTGAAGAATATACAGAATATTTTGTATCTCCTGAAGGAAGTTAGCTGGCAGTACAGATACATAAGTGGAAATTAATAATAAAGACAACTTACCAAATTTTGTTGTGTTTCATTTGCTGGTACGCTGTTTGGCATTAAAAATTGTAAGCTTGTGAAGTACTCCCAAGTGCTTACATAATTTTCATCTGTGCCTTGGCCACTCTTCTTTTTTTTTGTTTTCTCAGTTCGTTATTAAACTGCGTTCGTAAATTATGCAGTTTCCTATTTATTTCCGATGCAGTATTAAATTGTTCGGCCAAGCTTTCTACCGCAGCTGCTTTCTTTACTTGATTTTTATAATCAGGATTTGATATTTGCCATAGTTCTGGGAACGCTTCAAAATATAAAATCAATAATTTTATTTCCTCAGCTGACCACGCGCGTGACGTCATTAGTGTACCAAAAAATTTCACGTACACGTGAAATACTGACACTCGTGTCGGACAGCGCTATGCGTCCTGTCTCCACGGCAGCGACACCGTCACTACATCTGCAACTAAGTGTCGCGGCGATGTACACACACAGACATTCGTGTCTGGTGTCTAGTGTCGTCGTGTATACTTAACATAAGAGTTATAGAGCCACATGAAATACTACAGGCAATAGATAGCTTAACATCGGAACGTTAATGAAGTTACTAAATTAAGAATATTGGGCAAACAAAAAGATATTTAAAAATTTGACACATGCCAACAATTTTGATTAAAAAAAGCAGGCTTTACATAATACGTATTGCATTATTGAAATTATTCGATTAAATTAGGACGCAGACTGCACTACTCGAGATCGAATGACACGTATTGTACGTACCATCTCCTTTGCTCCGAATGCGTTCTCCCTCTGTCGTGTGCGCGATCCCAACAAATCCTCATATCTCTTCCTACACTTGACGAGCTGTACATATAAAATGCGGTAGTGTAGTAGATATCGTACGTGCAACATGAATGAGTCATGCCATACCTAACTTTTTAGTGGTGATTCTATCCCATCTGGGGCGAGCTTTTTTCTTTCTTATTCTATTTCTTAAAATACCCGATCCTTTTATTTTTTTATACTCCAGCTACCACGGAGGCCTAAGGCCTAAACACCCATGGGGTATCGTAGGGCTTTAGGGAGATACAGGGGATTTTGGAGTATTTAATAATATCAATTGTTATCAATATTTATGCAACTGATTCCGTATTTTCAAAATGTATTCATTCTAGGAAGCAGGTACCAAATAATGAATTCAAAAATTCAAAAGGTTATTGGGGGCTTTTATTTAATTTCGATGTTTAGTTGCTTGAAAGCAAGTTCTTTGTGCACCCGTATTTTGTTTTTTCACTCCCGGGATTTGCGCTGTTTATGTTACTTTGAGACTGAAAATGCCAAAGGCGCGTGTGTGTTCGTATAAGGTGCGTAAATGCAATTTCCATAGAAACTGCAAGCTTTTAAAACGGATTAGAGGAGCATCGATTATGATAAGATAAGCCGAGAAGTCAGCTCAGCTATCTTGTATAAATGATTCTATAGGTCGTTGAATCGCGCAATAAAATTTTTAACAAATGTAGATTTACTCAGCACTTATTATGCCTTTATTCATATGCCTTATTCTTTCTTTCGCCCGCTTTGTCGTATCGGTCAGTGCGTTAGACAAATTCGACAACCTTGTATTGTATCTAAATAACAATGTCAAATCAAAACTGAAATTGTGTTATTTTATGTTAGTGTGAATGTAAGTACTCATCATGATGACTGCCACAGTCATAGGAACTTACTGCTAGTTGTAACAACATTGATATGGAAATGAAAGCTGACGATGGCAAAATGGACTTGGAGGTCGATTTAAATTTTAAACAACCGTCGGACATTTTTCGTGATCGAAGAATTGTCAATCTTGCCCATCTGTTGACTGAATATAAGTCTGTTCTGCAATATTATAAGAAATCTACCATGGACAGAATGGATCTAGTTGACCAAATCGACATGGATACCTTGCAACAAAGCTGTTGTTATACAATCAGAACCAACCGGTTCTCACTGCAAACGTATCAACAGCGCTGCTCTGTGGAGGGCAGATACAAACGGTGTTGGGTACAGCCAGTATGAGGAGCTCATGAGGATGTTGGATATACCTCCAATGGCTCCTCAGACATTCCGAAACGAGATATACGTATAACTTGCACAAGGTAAGTGAGGAGTATATGTTTCTGATTTTGACATGTTAAACATTTAAAAAGTGTTTTGCTGTATATAACTGTATAAGAAAACTCCAGTTGAAGGGTAACGAATATACTGTGCTTTTCAAAAAGGTCCCTTCTACTTATTTTTTTGAAACAGTCTACACGTTCGCCACAAGACAATGATACATTTTTTAAGTATTTGGGTAAACATAAAACTGATACATTCTACTTCTAAAATGATAAAATTCAGTGATCCGGTATTTTTCAAAGATTTGGCAAGATTACTTGCTAGCAGATGTGCAGGAGAATGGAAAACAAGAAAAGGAAAAAGTCTCAGAGAAAGGCGACGTCATGCCCGATGATACACCTTACATAACTGTCATTGTAGATGGGGGTTGGAGTAAGAGGACAATGGCTACGGCTATAATACAGCATCTGGAGTGGTAAGTGGGGCATCAAAAAAGACGATAATACAAGAATTAAATTCTCCCGAAATGTTACGGTCTCAAAAGTTTCGAGATTTTGTTCGTATGGATATAAAATGAAAAACATTTTTTCGCATGTTACATAAAACTTTGTTACTTTTGAACTTTGTCATATCAGTTATAGTTTGAATACAGTTTTAATTATACTGGACATAGATTGTGACTTAATATATTGTTGGCTTGATTTGATATGTGATGCAAATTCAAGTTTTTTGTAGCGCTGTTCGGTGCAATATAATTTATCGTTTTTTTCAGCGTGTTATAATATGTGCAGACAAAAAAACCTTGATTTGTTGGATTGAGACCTTCCTTCCGTAAGAGATAATTTCTTATTGCTTACTCATCTTTCCTTCTTATAACTATTAGTATAAGTATTATTGTCATTGTATAAAAATGTTTCCCCACTCCTCGCACCATGAGGTAAGTTAAATAGGTGTCAGTAATCACATTAGACGTACCATGATGTGATCATACATACAAATATATCACTATCACTACGATAATTATTATTATTATTGTAGTATAGACAATAACAGTAACAACTATTACCATTGACATATTTACGCAATTTTGGTATCGTGGTGAAAATATGCAGTGATGGACTTTTGTCGTTGTAATAATCTCTATTATATGACAGACACTAATCATAATGAAATCTATTCTCATTTATTACATATTTAAACAAGTTTGGCAAGGTCATTTCTCCATATGCAAATTAAATGTAACTGATACTAAGTTAGATGTTACCATAAAAGGTTTTTCTTCTGGCTCAATTGTGAAATCCGCGTTATTCCCGACACATCATTCTATTGTATAGAATAAAAGATACGATATAATAGTGTTGAAGTTTTTACAACAATTGGAAGTACCTCGGATAGTTAGCTTCCATACTATTCATTCCATTCACCTCAATCCCCAATTCCTCGTTTTTTTTCTCGGTTTTTACTGTTTTTTGATAAACTAACGTTTCATTGTGTAACAATGGTATTTTGTACATGATCACCCGTTTATAGTAGCTTTGTTTTTTTGTTGACAAAAAAGGTCCTTTTCTTAAACAACTATGCCTCAAAAATCCATAGACCATGAGCCTGAATTCTTCTTTTTGAATTTTGTCGAATATTTGATTCCGGTAACCAAAATTATTTGCATTCGTTTATAATAAAATCAGATAGCTGTTCCTTTAGTATTTACTAGACTAATGGCAGTAAATGCTAATAATATCTGCTATGGTTCGAAGTGCATAAACGATAATGCTGTAAGAAATTCAGCGCCTGTAAGTTCTGCTTCATTGCCTTGGCTACTGACTTGATTTTCTGGCACAAATATTGTTCGTGCAACGTCAAAATAAAAATCTAATTTCGACTTCTGCTACCTGCACGTTGAACATGCATTACCTGCTAATAGACAGTACAGCAGTTCAGATTTTGTGAATTTCCAAGTACTTAATACATAACTGTTAGCGCTAAGGGTAGGTATAGTGAAGGTAAATTGCATATTTTACGTGAAGGCATCAGAATGATTATGAGTGGAAATTTTATTTTTGTCGTTTATGCACGAGCCAGTACGTGTCTTCAAAATTTGCGCCAGCAAATCAGGAGAGCAGCAACGGCAATGAAGAAGAACTTACAGGCACATCATTTTTATACATCTCGTCATGGAAAATATGTTTAGCATTTACTTTGAATAAACTGTTGTTATTAGCCTAGTAAATACCAAATACCAGGGAAGCAGCTACTACCATACTTACAAAAGATTTTAAATGCTCACTGTACCGCGCCCACCCTGTATACCACATCAAAACTAATTTAATAAATACATTAAAGCAATTTGAACCCTTTCTTTTAGAACGGTAGTTATTTTTTTAAACTACTGTTGAGGCCGAACATGTTAGTGGTTTAGCTACCAGTATCTCATTTTTTGAAGCTGTTATTGTCGTTCAATCTGATTTTTATACAATCCATTGCTACCAATATTTCATATTTTTGAAAACCAAGTTTTCTTCTAGGGAAAAATTAATTAACCATAATAAAATCTACAAAAATAGTGGATAATAAATACAGAGCACAGTTGCTGTATATTTTTGTGAGCGGAATCACAAATACTCAAAAAGTGCAAAAAAATCTAGCTCCAACACTATTGATTTCAGAAGAATAGTTGTTTTACTATTCTTTTTATAACAAAAAATTCTTCGACCACTATAAACGGACCACCCTGAATACATTTTTATACGTCTTTTATAAATTTGCTACTATGAATATTCCAATTTTCTTGTTTATAAGGAAATTCCATATTTCTGAGAGTATATGTATATAATGACGCTGGAAAAATTTTTATTGCTTGAAGATATTCTAAATCTGAATATATTTGATGTTTTATTCCAAATGTGTGGACTCATGACGATACTTTAAAAATGCATTTTGTCTAATTTTGGCATTTTTGAGTCTTTTTTTGGTTACTCTAATATGATCTGAGTGTTGATATACGCCGAAAAAGGAAAATTTGAATTTCAATTAGGTTATAAACACGCAGCTGACTACGCCCAAAAGCCATCAAGATATCCATGGGCACCTGGGCGCCCGCAGGAAGAGCGGAAAGTGGCAAATTTTCTGATGGGGCAAGTTATAAAATAAAAATTTCACTCAAAAGCATGCTAAATATGCAAACTTTATACAACAACCGGATTCTCA